TATTTTATATTTATTATATATAGATGTATTTATTACAGAATTTCAAAATAATGTGATTATCTTTCAGGTTAATTCAGGTGCTCCATCTATCATATTACAAGTCCCCCCTATCACTTTGAGATCAGGAAAATCAATGTAATTTTAAATCTCATCTATTTTAAAAATATGGACTCCAGTACTTAAATAGGAAAAATATCAGATGTTATTGGAGCTAAGGCATCGGTTTGAGGAGATAAACTTATATGAGGATGTTACTTTAACAAACAAAAAAACTGAGCATATAGCATGAACCAGACACGGAATTACATATACTCCAGGAATTATAGCAGTGACTGACAGTGAGCGAAATATTTCTGTAGACATGGAGCTTATATTTTATTGGGGGGAACAACAAAGCAAGAAAAACTGTCAGATGTGCTCGGGGCTATGAAGTCCACTGAAACACGGATAGGTGATCTTTCTGCTTTATTTGATTGATTGGTTTACTTTTTCTGGTTAGGTGATATTTTAAATGGTATGGCCATGGAAGGCTTTGCGGATAAGGTGGTGAGTGGGGAAGAAAATTGAGGAAGTGCCAAGTAGAAGGGAGACCAGGAAGGAGAGCCGGGAGGTGGCAAGGAGTTGCTGTGGCTGCACCCAGGGAGCAAAGGGAAGGTCCGGAGTCGGGCAGTTCCCTCAGGTCCTGCAGACCAACGTCTAACTGAACACAGGGCTCACTGTTTGGAGTCACAGAACCAAAGAAACACAAGCCTTGGTGAAAGAAAACCGTTTTATTATTTATTTATTTTAAAAATATACTTTATTGGTTTTTTACAGAGGAAGGAAGAGGGATAGAGAGTTAGAAACATCAATGAGAGAAACACCGATCAGCTGCCTCCTGCACACTCCCCACTGGGGATGTGCCTGCAACCAAGGTACATGCCCTGCTAACCTCATCCACATTGTAGGATATTTTCATATTTACCAAGAGTGACATGTAGTAAGAACTGCCCAGACCTGAGACCCTTGTTCTATCTAACAGTTTCTCCCTGAGGAATTTGCAGAACACGCAGAACTATGATCCTGGTTGACAGATGTGGGGAAATGCCCTCGGCAAGGAGGAGGCAATAAAATTGGAACTTCGCTCCAGGAAGGAGTGAATGTTAGAGCCTGGGAAGATCGCTCTGGGGCTCCAGCCATGGATATGCATGTCCTCCCCAGATGCACCCACACACCTCCCATGTTTTACATGCAACTCCAGGGGGTTCCCAGGCCTCCTGGAACCCAGTGTGGGACTCCGCTTCAGAGCCCCGTGTCCGAAGCTGGCTTTCCTCTTCCCGTGGCTTCCCCAGCTTCTGATTTGAGAAGATGGACCTCGAGAACACAGATCTCTGTCTAAGTCTGTTATGGAAAGATTGACAACCTGGCGGCCAAAGCAATCTCATCCAGGAGGCACCTGGTCCTTACAGCACCCAGCCCCTGTCACCTGTTCTCTGGGCCCGGGTGCCCCCAGGCGCCCGCTCTCTGCGACCCCCCCCGAGCCCACATGACTTGTAGCCTGTAATGAATATCCCATGCTCACGTCCGCATGCCTGTAATGCCTACTCCCCCACCTAATCTTTGCCCTTCTACCCAATATAAGCAGCTGGCTTATGGTGGGGGGCAGAGCAGATTTTTGTGGGTGACCTGCTGCTCTTCCTGCTGCCGGCAGGACTGGAATAAACGCTCAGATAGCATCCGACCCTCTTTCTGCTGAAGTGGCTGAAGTGGTGACGGGCAGCCCGGACCCCTTGTTTGTCCGGTTACAGAAGGGTTTGCGCTGTTCACACTGCGAGACAAGGAACCTAATTGATGTCAAATGTTAGCAGGCTTTTTGGCCCCCTGCCCCGTTCTAGGCCTTGGGACTCTGAGATCCAGTGGGACTACGGGTGTAGCCACAGCTAATATCTGGGAGGACTCTGTCCTAAGACACTGACCCAAGAGCTTCACTGGAGATCGTTTATTGATCACCCCAGCAATGCCACGTGGTAGTTACTCATTTTATTCCCATTTTAGACGTAAGGTGATGCTCACAGAGGGTTTAAGTAATTGGCTTAAACCCAGCATTCAAACAGGCAGATGGGGCTGTGTCCTGCCTGGGGCATTTCCCCTCAGCCCATGCTTTTTCTTGTTGAATACTTCTGTTTTTTACTACTAGTGGCTCAGTGCATGAAATTCATGCACATTAAAAGGGAATTAATTAGAGGAAATATTTTAATACTGCTATTTGCCCTTTCTCTATACTAGAAGTGTCAGAGATGAAAGAAAATTAGTAAAATGTATATGAAAATCTTCCTGTCAGAGTCTGGGGCACCGAGGGACCCAGAGTCAAGTCCCCGCCCACCCACGTGCACCTCAAAATCGAGACCCAGCCCCAGCCAGCCCCACCCCATTGGGTGAGATCCAGGCTCACCGGCCCACCCCCATCAAGCCCTGCTATGTGGGGGGTGCAGCCTCAGGTCTCCCGGCCCAGTGCTGGGTGAGGGTGCAGCATTAGGTGCCCAGCGCACCCTCAGGTCCCCTGGCTTGGCTGGGGGTGAGGCTTGAGGTCCCCATCAAGCCCCACTGGGCGCGGCCTGAAGTCTCCCGCCCTGGCCCCAGCGCCACGGAGCCTCAGGTCCCTGCTGATCGCTCATTTCAGCTCCTTACGGAAACCCCGCTTCCGCTGTGGGTGCAGCCATCTTGTGATGGCATGAGGGTCAATTTGCATATTACCCCTTTATAGCCCCGTGTCCGAAGCTGGCTTTCCTCTTCCCGTGGCTTCCCCAGCTTCTGATTTGAGAAGATGGACCTCGAGAACACAGATCTCTGTCTAAGTCTGTTATGGAAAGATTGACAACCTGGCGGCCAAAGCAATCTCATCCAGGAGGCACCTGGTCCTTACAGCACCCAGCCCCTGTCACCTGTTCTCTGGGCCCGGGTGCCCCCAGGCGCCCGCTCTCTGCGACCCCCCCCGAGCCCACATGACTTGTAGCCTGTAATGAATATCCCATGCCCACGTCCGCATGCCTGTAATGCCTACTCCCCCACCTAATCTTTGCCCTTCTACCCAATATAAACAGCTGGCTTATGGTGGGGGGCAGAGCAGATTTTTGTGGGTGACCTGCTGCTCTCCCTGCTGCCGGCAGGATTGGAATAAACGCTCAGATAGCATCCGACCCTCTTTCTGCTGAAGTGGCTGAAGTGGTGACGGGCAGCCCGGACCCCTTGGTTGTCCAGTTACAGAAGGGTTTGCGCTGCTCACACTGCCAGACAAGGAACCTAATCGATGTCAAATGTTAGTAGGCTTTTTGGCCTCCTGCCCCGTTCTAGGCCTCGGGACTCTGAGATCCAGGGGGACCAGAGGCTATAGCCACAGCCAATATCTGGGAGGACTCTGTCCTAAGACACTGCTCCAAGAGCTTCCCCGGAGATCGTTTATTGATCACCCCAGCAATGCCACGTGGTAGTTACTCATTTTATTCCCATTTTAGACGTAAGGTGATGCTCACAGAGGGTTTAAGTAATTTGCCAAAACTCAGCATTCAAACAGGCAGATGGGGCTGTGTCCTGCCTGGGGCATTTCCCCTCAGCCCATGATTATTCTTCTTGAATACTTCTGTTTTTTACTACTAGTGGCCCAGTGCATGAAATTCGTGCACATTAAAAGGGAATTAATTAGAGGAAATATTTTAATATTGCTATTTGCCCTTTCTCTATACTAGGGCCCCATCAAGCCCCACTGGGCGCGGCCTGAAGTCTCCCGCCCTGGCCCCAGCGCCACGGAGCCTCAGGCCCCTGCTGATCGCTTGTTTCAGCTCCTTACGGAAACCCCGCTTCCGCTGTGGGTGCAGCCATCTTGTGATGGCATGAGGGTCAATTTGCATATTACCCCTTTATTATATAGGGTGTTTGAAAAAAATTAAAAGCTATCCTGGCTTTCTTTACTTTAGACTAAAGAAAGGGATGAGGTCACTCGCAACAGGCAAGTGTTCTGTGAGCACAGTGTTTATCCTGGAAAGAGGCACACAATCAACATGTTGCTTGGCAACAAGCACATTTCCAAGCCTCCAGCTGAAAAGCAAACGCATTTCACAATGTGAACATGTTCTCTTACCTTGAATAAAGCAAGGACTCAGCTTTTTGTTTCTTTTTATGAACACACTGTTTTTTAAAAATGTATTTTAAACGTGCTTTGGAGAAGAAGAAATAAATGCCTTCATAATATGTGGGCCCCAGGGAGTTTTCTTCACAAAGTCCATTACAAAACTGAGTCATTACTGCATGTTCATAGGGATCTGTTACGGAGTCATTTGCAGAAAAAAGACATGAAACTCCATGTTGCTCTAAGTAGAAAATGAGCTCTTTAAGCTCAGATTTACTCTGCCAATGGCCATGATTCCCCCTTCACACCGCAGTTCTGAGGTTCGATTGGCTGCCAGGCGATCCTTACACTCCCACCTTGATGTCTACCTTAAACTTCAGCTGGCAAGGATTTTACTGGGCCTCAGAGAACACGTGTGTCTCCTGGCCACTTCTACTTTCCTCTTATTCTAACCATCTACTTGCCTTTGACGGTGTCCCCATTCCTATGACCAGCCTCTTCCTTGAGAAAAAGCCTGACAAACACTGTGGAAAGTCCTGACAACTCGACCGATGAACAAGGGCCTAGTACTCAACCTGAAGTCTCAGTCCTTTGCCTGTAAATTGGAGATTCCTTCTGAGGCGATTGTAGGATAAAATCAGCGACATGCTGGAGCACACCAATGTTAAATCCTGTAAAATCTTAGAATAAAGTCCTAGGAGATGAAAAGCTAACGAACAAAGAAAAAGCTCTGGACAAGGGTAGGGGAACTCTAGGAGCCCTTGGGGCTTGAATGAAACCGACCCTGGAGGCACAATCAAGTCGCCTCCCTGCTGAGGAATTCCAGGTGGTTGAAAAATTTACATAACAATGGATACTTTCTCCCCCGCCCTCAGCAACTCCTGCAGTTCTCTATACGCTTGGATATTAGCTGAATTTAAAACTCTACACGATGGTCAGACAATGCTGGACCTTGCCAAGACGTACTATTAGCTGCTCAAGACAATCCAGGGGTTCTTTCTGTGAAAAAGTCTGTGGAAACGTTAGTGGGTTTGGATGAAAAAATGAAACTAAGGACAGGCAACTTACTGCCTTAACCAGGCGATGCAAGATCAAGAGAGCAAATCAGACTAGGCCACCTTCCCTTTGCTAACTACCGCAGCAGCAAGTATCCCAGTTGCATAGATAACTTTTACTAACTAGGCGGGGGAGAAGCAGGCTTCTTGCCTGAAACATTTGCACCCCTTTTGGAGCTACAGATCTTTGAGACATTGTGGGTGGCTCTGAAAAGAGCCTTTGGGGTCAGGAGTCAGGCCGCTTGCCCGCGCGTCTACTTGGAGCTGGTGTACTTGGTGACGGCCTTGGTGCCCTCGGACACGGCGTGCTTGGCCAGCTCGCCGGGCAGCAGCAGGCGCACGGCCGTCTGGATCTCGCGGGACGTGATGGTCGAGCGCTTGTTGTAATGCGCCAGGCGCGACGCCTCGCCCGCGATGCGCTCGAAGATGTCGTTGACGAACGAGTTCATGATGCCCATGGCCTTGGACGAGATGCCGGTGTCGGGGTGCACCTGCTTGAGCACCTTGTACACGTACACCGAGTAGCTCTCCTTGCGGCTGCGCTTGCGCTTCTTGCCGTCCTTCTTCTGCGCCTTGGTCACCGCCTTCTTGGAGCCCTTCTTCGGGGCGGGCGCGGACTTGGCGGGCTCGGGCATGGTCGGAAGAACTCCTGAAGCACTTAGGGGAGAAGTAGAGAAACGGTAAGACCAGGACTCAACGGGTCCCTTTTATATAGAGCCTCGTATGCAAATAAAGTGATAAATTACAATTCTGTGTCTGATTGGTGGTTATTCACAACAACGTCAAAAAAAATGAGCACTGTCCAATCAGAACAAAAGAATGCCAAATGTGCATTTTGATTGGTTAAGATGAAACCGCACTCTTAACCCATGACACATATGTTTCGCGCCCAAAAACGTTTATAAAAAGGGCCGCCCCCATCCTCTCAATACTTCCTGGGAAGTTTGTAAGTGCATCATGTCAGGCCATTTCCTAATGTCCGGACGCGGAAAGCAGGGCGGCAAGGCGCGCGCCAAGGCTAAGTCTCGCTCCTCGCGGGCCGGACTGCAGTTCCCCGTGGGCCGCGTGCACCGGCTGCTCCGCAAGGGCAACTACGCCGAGCGCGTCGGGGCGGGCGCGCCCGTGTACCTGGCGGCCGTGCTGGAGTACCTGACGGCCGAGATCCTGGAGCTGGCGGGCAACGCGGCCCGCGACAACAAGAAGACGCGCATCATCCCGCGCCACCTGCAGCTGGCCATCCGCAACGACGAGGAGCTCAACAAGCTGCTGGGCAAGGTGACCATCGCGCAGGGCGGCGTGCTGCCCAACATCCAGGCCGTGCTGCTGCCCAAGAAGACCGAGAGCCACCACAAGGCCAAGGGCAAGTAAATCAAGTGCCTACAACCTACTGCCTTTTTTTTTTTAACCCAAAGGCTCTTTTCAGAGCCACACATTTTCTCAAAAAGAGCCAGCTTTGGTGCTGTTTCACAATCGTGCAGGATAGCCACCTTCCTCCATAGTCACTGCAGCTCGTTCATCGGGAGTTACTGTCTTTGCTACTTGTGATTCCTGCGCTTGAATGAGGTCCTGGGAGAGGGGACTGTTATTAAGGCTTTGAATTTGGGGGGAGCCAGTAAAGGAGACGCTTGCGAATCTCAGTAGACATTAGGGGCACAGTTTGGCTCGGTATTGAGTAGTTTCTCTAGGGAGGAGGGAAACCAAAGGTCAAACGAGAGGTAAAGAACTTAACTTTCCAGGTCAGTAAATCTCCCTGCGGGAGGCGCATGCGGGTGGCAGCTTGGTCGTCTCTGGTCTAGTCTCAGGAAAGACAATACAAGCGAGTCTGTTCTCAACGCGTGGTCCTCACACCCTTATGCCCCAAGACAGGTCCGCTGAGCCAGAATTGGCACTAAGTGGTTCCTCACTTACAATTTGAGGTGCAATAAAGAACTTTAGAAAATTGCTTTTTAAATCACAGACTTGCTACACAGATCGGAGAGTGGAGCAATTCATCAGCTGTCTAGTAATTCACTAGTTTAACTTCAGCCAATGGCTTCTTTGCGCGGGACTTTTAAAAAAGCGCACAACCAATCAGCATGGTTTTGAGGGTATATAAGGGTTGCCTCCTCTTCCCATCCCCTTTTATTCAAGTTAGTCGGTTCCCCTCACTGTCCTCCAAATGGCTCGGACCAAGCAAACGGCGCGCAAGTCCACGGGCGGGAAGGCGCCCCGCAAGCAGCTGGCCACCAATGCGCGAGATCCGCCGCTACCAGAAGTCCACGGAGCTGCTGATCCGCAAGCTGCCCTTCCAGCGCCTGGTGCGCGAGATCGCGCAGGACTTCAAGACCGACCTGCGCTTCCAGAGCTCGGCCGTCATGGCGCTGCAGGAGGCGTGCGAGGCCTACCTGGTGGGGCTGTTCGAGGACACCAACCTGTGCGCCATCCACGCCAAGCGCGTCACCATCATGCCCAAGGACATCCAGCTGGCGCGCCGCATCCGCGGGGAGCGGGCGTGAGCTCCGTCCTACCCACTTGCACCGAAACCCAAAGGCTCTTTTCAGAGCCGCCTAGAACCTCAGTTAGAAGCGCTGTGGGCCAAGGGCTGGGATCTAAACTTCGTTCCCGCCAGCAGCTCACAGCTTGTTGCAAATAAGGGTGAAGTCATTATGCAGAACGCGACTATCGGCTCAGAATCCACACCCTGTGCTGGTGAAATACTAATTAGGTGGTAATCTTAAAGGAACAGCCACACAATAGGTCCTCCCTTTCCTCCCACAAAGGCCGCGTCCCTAAGCCCCTCGGGCAATGCAGGATTTGTGGTTTCGCGCACATTAGCCATGGGGGCTCCCAGCCCGAGGCGCCTGGGAAACACTGGCTTCTTCAGCCGATAAGTAAATCGCTTTGCACTTAAAGTGGAATCCAGGCTCCAGGCCTCACCACAGAACCTGGCTTCCCCCGAATTGACTTCACCCGACTCAGGCTCTTAAGAGCTACCCATTTATTTAATTTAGTTAAAACAATTTCTATAGATTTACATTATTAATGTGTCTTGAGGTTTTTTGAAGTTGATTTGGGACATTGAGGTGGTCTGTTTTCATACGGGACTGGGTGCACTTGCTCAGCTTGCCTCCTGGGGGTGAAGTGGGACTGCTGGTTTCAGAGTTTCCTGTGATGTTTCAGACGCCCCCCTAGGCCCCTCTGGGGCTGCTTTGTACCCCACAAGTGAGCAGGTCATGTGCGAAAGTTGTCCCAAGGTAGGAGCCTGGCTGGCCAGCGGGAAGGGGATGTAAAGGTGAGTTTCAGGTGTCCCCATGGGCGTAGCAATGGGCTGAGTTGTTTCCCTGTGTTTGACGACTGGAAGGGGCAGAAATAGCACGTGAAATTCGGATGATATGGACACACATTGTGAAAGGTGAGGTTCTTTACCCACGAAAGGTTGGATGGGGGGGCTGCATTTTCTGTTGACCCCTCCTACAGCTTTGTTCCCACGTTTGGTCATTGATCACTGGGAAACATGCTATCGGGACATCTTTGGTCTTTGCTTTTTAAAAAAATATTTTTATTGATTTCAGAGAGGAAGGGAGAGGGAGAGAGAGAGAAATAGAAACATCAATGATGAGAGAATCATTGATCAGCTGCCTTCTGCATGCCCCTTTTGGGGATCAATCTCGAAATCAGGGCACGTGCCCCTGACATGAATTGAACCTGGGACCCTGCATTCCGCAGACCGATGCTCTTTACACTCAGCAAAACCAGCTAGGGCTGATCTTTGCTTTTTAAAAAATATATATTTTTATTGATTTCAGCAAGGCAGGGAGACAGAGAGATAGAAACATCAATGATGACAGAGAATCATTGATCGGCTGCCTCCTGCACGCCCCACCCCAGGGACCAAGCCCACAATCTGGGTATGTACCCCAACCAGGAATTGAACCATGACCTCCTGGTTCCCAGGTGGAGGCTCTACCCCTGAGCTGCAGCAGCTGGGGTGACCTTAGCTTTTTTTTTTTTTATGTCATTCCTATGACAATGTACAGTTAGAAGTGAGGCAGCTTTGGCTTTCCTGTGAAATATTTATCCTTTGTCCTTTGTCACACAGAATAATGAGGTCATTGTTTATGACAGTTGACAATACGGATTTCTAATGAGCGTATTGGTGGCAGAACGGAAGGCTCTGCCCTGAGGACTTGATAGTCTGGGGGGAAAGTCGCAGGTTGGGCAACGCTTAGATCGTGCTAGAAATGTGGTCTCAGACCCACCCAGGCCCCTCAATGAACACGGTCCCCAGTTCTCCTGGGGTGATTCTCATGAATGCGTTTAGGAACCTACTCTTTAATGGGTGGTTTTGGTCTCATCAAGAAAGTCAGTCTTCTGTGAACCCTCAGCGGGAGTAAGCATATGCAAATCCCAGCATAGAATAGAGAATAGCTAATTCTATTCCCGGCATAGAATTAGCTATTTTCTGAAGCACTGACCCACAACAATGTGCACCGATGGCAGTTTGATTTTATTATAGATCTGAGGTCTCGATGCTGACTGCTCATTAGAACTTGGTGTATCTTCTTAAATGAGCTGAGAAAAAAAAAAGGCAGGATCGAGGCAGATAGGACTGGAGCTGCTGTAGCAGATGGTTATACTTTGAAAGTATATGAAAACAGTAGCGTGTTTCAATCACTGCTGCGACTCCAAACTCAGTCTGACCTCGTCCACAGAAGGCACTGAGTCTGACCTTTCATCCTCGCGCTGACTGCACACAGCTGCGTACGCTCTCAAGCACTATTTACTGCAAAATGATCATTTAATTTTAATGAGAGTTGTATCATCTTACTTTCTCTCCCACGGAAACAATTCTGGCCAGTATTTACAATTCATTTCCATTGTATTGGAGACGTGTCCTTCTGAAGACGTAAGAACTCCCCAGTGTTCCCTCTTGCTTTTAGACATGACCTGTGCCATGTCCCCTGAAATTTATTTTCATTTCTTGTTTAGTAATTAAACACCCCAACCTTCCTTTGCAGTGAGGTACGGCCATTATTTTTGGTCAATGGTATCTTATACCATCCCTCAGGGTTTCAAAAAAAAAATGGTGGGGGTATTCCCTTCTCCTTTTTTCTTCCTTCAAGACAATCTGAATGTGAGGCTGTAGCTGGTGCCAACATCTTGGTCAGGGCCCATGAAGAATGACGAGAATGACAGGTGGGAAATCACCTTAATGCAATGGTGGCCTCAGAATCCACTGCCAGGCCGGCCATTTCCAAGGTGATGGAACAGAAAGGGTCACAGACCAATAGAAGTTCCCCGTGTTCCATGACTTAATTGCATTGAATTAATTTTAAATGCACAGCCAGAAACAAGGGGGAAAGAGATTGGGCAAGTTAACACATTTCAGATACATTGTAAACGGGCAGCCAAGTCTCACATCTTTCTCCCTCCCTCCCCCTTCCCTCTCCCTTCTCCCTTCTCCCTCTCCGGGACCGTCTTCTCTGCTGAGACCGTGGACTTGAGAAGGGGCCCAGCCGATGGGAGGCTGTGCACTTGGCCCTGCATCTCTCCCATAGAGCAAACATGTTGGACCAAATAAACTCAACCTGTTAACTACAGTCCAAACATTGAAATTTGCACTCCACACCCTTAGTTAATCCCTTTCTCTTGCTGTCTTCCTGTCATTTCTCTTCCTCCATCTCCCAGAGCTGCCTCCAGGGAACTTGGGAATGTAAGGTTAAGTCATGTCAGCTTTTGGCAACGCTACCCCCTTGTGTGATCACCTTATATGTCCAAGCGAGGTGACACGCCCGTTGAGGACACTGCTCTTTTCCTAATATCTGTCACGTAGGCTCTCAAGAAGTGAACAGTTTCCTAGTTTCTCCACTCAGCACCCCAATTAGGGAAGAATCTGCCCCAAGCCCACCTCAGCCCCATGATCCCACAGGAGAGCCCACGAGCGGGGGCTCCTAGCCCAACATTTCGGGTATCTGTGTATAAGCCCACCTCAGCCCCATGATCCCACAGGAGAGCCCATGGGGGGGGGGGGCTCCTAGCCCAACATTTCGGGTATCTGTGTACTTGTTAGTGGAGGCCATGTTGAAATTCCGCAGCTGAAACAGCATTGTTGATTCTCAGCCTGTTAAGGGAAGACTGCAAAAGCCAAAGACATTACCCGCAACAAACAGGCCTTGTTTTTGGCCTGTTTCAGGTTTCCTTCTCATCTCCTTCCTCCTGTAAAACCCATTTAATCTTCCAAGTCTAAGTTGCCTATCACACGGCTAGAGGTTTGAGATACTCTCCAAGGACCTTTTTTGGTTCCATAGCCTCCGCCCAATTCCTAATATGCCAGAAACCAGCCTTAATCTCACCAGCCCGAACAATAACTTAGAAAGCACACGACCTCTATATGTCCAATTTGCCCCAACATATCTGCAAAGAATTTCCTTAGAGATGAGAATAGTGGCCCGCACTAGAGCCTTTATGTGAAAGGTGTGGGTGGCTCTGAAAAGAGCCTTTGGGTTCAGGAGTCAGGCCGCTCGCTCGCGCGTCTACTTGGAGCTGGTGTACTTGGTGACGGCCTTGGTGCCCTCGGACACGGCGTGCTTGGCCAGCTCGCCGGGCAGCAGCAGGCGCACGGCCGTCTGGATCTCGCGGGACGTGATGGTCGAGCGCTTGTTGTAATGCGCCAGGCGCGACGCCTCGCCCGCGATGCGCTCGAAGATGTCGTTGACGAACGAGTTCATGATGCCCATGGCCTTGGACGAGATGCCGGTGTCGGGGTGCACCTGCTTGAGCACCTTGTACACGTACACCGAGTAGCTCTCCTTGCGGCTGCGCTTGCGCTTCTTGCCGTCCTTCTTCTGCGCCTTGGTCACCGCCTTCTTGGAGCCCTTCTTCGGGGCGGGCGCGGACTTGGCGGGCTCGGGCATGGTGCTCAGTTCTCAGACAGAAAACCAGCGGAGTGAGTGCCGCGCTCAGGCCGGCCTATATTTGTAAGGCTTATATGCAAATAAGGGCTTAATCCATGTCAAACTCTGATTGGCTGAAATCATCCAATAGAAACCTTCAACGCAATCAAGGGGATTTCAAATCTTACTGCCTGTTAAGGAGGAAGCCGCCCTGGGTGTGTTTTTTCCTCCTCCCTTAGAAAAGTTTTCTTATTCATAACAATGCAAACAATTACATAAATGTCTTATCAATCGTATCTATTTATGAGTCTTGTCTCTGCCTCGATCCAGATCTAAACAGACAAAGCGTAATATAAATTCATGGCTGTATCGTTTCCAGCCAAATTAGAGACCGGGTTGCTAACGCTAGAAAAGAGCATCTAGATGTTAGCTGCATATTAAATATGTTCCAAATTATGCTGCTGACATTCCCAGTTCGGTCTGGTCAAAGCCGGCAACACTAAAGCTTTTTAAAGTTTCAAAGAACTGTCCCACCTTCACAGCGGTGGGATTTTTCTGCTTCTTGGGGACGGGGTATGTGAGAGAAATACCAGTGTCTGTTTGAAGGTTAGAAACGATGAAAGAGGGCGCTTGTGTTGCAGAAATCTAATACTTTTCAAGTCAGAAGCTTTTATAAAGGTCGAAACTGCGCAAATTCAAACGCCGAGTTTTTGAGAAGGTGGAGAAACCCTGGAACTTTCACTTTCACCTCCTCCCAAGTGTAAATCAGAACAAGGAGATTAAAAACTGTCGAAGAGATTCAACAAAGCCAATTAAGGAAGGCGATCAATACCTAAATACAGGGTGGGTCCAGGGCGGAGAATTAAGTGAAAAGGTAACTGAGCAACTTTCCATTTTTTTAATAGACCCGATAGCCAATCACAGGTCCGTTACACTGCTTAATTCGCGGCGCGGAATTTGAATATTCGGACCAATCAGGAGGCGTTTGAGGTTATAAATAGGAGCGAGAACAACAGAGACTTCAGTTGCGAACTGTGTTGGCGATCTGTCCTCATGGCTCGAACCAAGCAGACGGCGCGCAAGTCCACGGGCGGGAAGGCGCCCCGCAAGCAGCTGGCCACCAACCGGCCCGGCACCGTGGCCCTGCGCGAGATCCGCCGCTACCAGAAGTCCACGGAGCTGCTGATCCGCAAGCTGCCCTTCCAGCGCCTGGTGCGCGAGATCGCGCAGGACTTCAAGACCGACCTGCGCTTCCAGAGCTCGGCCGTCATGGCGCTGCAGGAGGCGTGCGAGGCCTACCTGGTGGGGCTGTTCGAGGACACCAACCTGTGCGCCATCCACGCCAAGCGCGTCACCATCATGCCCAAGGACATCCAGCTGGCGCGCCGCATCCGCGGGGAGCGGGCGTGAGCTCCGTCCTACCCACTTGCGCCGAAACCCAAAGGCTCTTTTCAGAGCCGCCTACCGCTTCAATGGAAGAGCTGTAAGCAAAACAGGTATCTGCTCCCCAAACAGAACTACCTCCTGGTGGGATAGGCGCTGTGGTTGCCGAACTCCTTGTCCCAGAGGCCGCTTGCCTGCACCCAGTCCTTCCTATATAGCAGCAGCTCCAGCCTAATGCGTGGCTGTGCTCTTAATGGAATATCTGGCTTCCCCCCCCAAGTGAGGCCTGGAATGGTCGCTAAAGCTCCAACCAGGCATTCACCTTTGCAGCCTGCACCCTCCTTTGGAAATACAATGCCACTAGGCCTGAAACCATGGTCCTTGCGTAACCCTTTCTTTGCTGGAATTCCTCAAAGCTGGGAGGCCAAGCTTCCCACTTTTCCTCCAGAAGGAAGTCCTGTACCTCGCGCCATGCGGCGTGTTGGATTTAGTATGTTTTCTCACCTAAAGATGGGACTTACCTCCCCCGGGTGGTTGGTAAGCAATGGCGTCTGTTCAGTCAATGGCTCCGCACTCAAGTAAAACCGAGTCCCCGGCAGGAGCCCAGGACCTGGCATTCCCTGCAGTTTATCTAACAACAGCCGCACGTTGTTGCTGGAGCCAGTCCTCCGCTGCAGAACCCAGTATTCATATTCAGGATCATTGAACTGCCCCGTGCCATATGTTTCTGCCTTGAAGCTAACTTCCAAGCGCTATGGCAGCACAATGATTTTTACGTGAATGTGGAAAGGGTTATTAGGCTACCAGTTATAGCGACACGAATACCCCTTTAAGAACCGTAATTTTAAGGTGGAAGGCAGGAAATAACAAACTTAAACCCAAATGGGTTGCAGTGGGGTTAGGGGGAAGAAACAACCCCTGTACTTGTTAAAGTTTTAAAAAGCTTCATTAGTAGTAGTCCTAAAGTGGGAACAGTTGTGTACTATTTATTATCTTTCCGTGGACGAATGGTTATTACAGAGTGGAAAACAGAAAAGGAAAAAGGGCCACAGGCTACACCCGACAATCTCAGGGAAGGGGGGGCTGCAGGGAAGTGGGGAGGCCTGCAGGGAAAGGGGGGCTGCAGGGAAGCGGGGAGGCCTGCAGGGAAGGGGGGGCTGCAGGGAAGCGGGGAGG